AAAAAAAAAATCATCCCTCGACACAGAAGGATTCAATGAATCCAGGTTAGTAGTTACTCGGACGCTTTATCGGTATACATCTGACAGTATTTAGCCCGAAACTTGAACGCGATCTTTGAAGAATGGTTGTAATATTTAAATTTAACAAAAATACTAGCATGAAGTGCAACCGAAACCTTACCTTACCGTACTAGTTCCGATAGAAAAGCACAACTTCGATCACTAACGCACTCCAAACTAATAAGGGAATCGAAGCCACGAGGCAATGTCAAATTCTCGTCTTCCTAAGCTTTCCAACGTATCGAAGAAAATTTCGCCTATAATTCGCACTTAAAAACGCAACCAGAATCTTCATCTTTCACCAATCCGAAGTGTCCCAAACGACACCAAGGATAGCTCATGAAACAAGGATATCCCGTGAAATTCTTAACCTTCGAGCGGAAATCTTAACGATCTTCTTACAATTAATATTTTTACATTGCATCCCTCCCCTAGTTGGGAAGTGACAAGCAAGAGACACGTTCACAACGCCTTTTGTTGGAAGAAATAAAACCTCATTCTATTGGTTATTAGTTGTGAGGACATAACTGCAACGGAAGACACAACTGCAACGCTACAATTATTCACGATCACGTCCCTCCTTTAGTGGAGGAGGCCTGGGACCTAGTCACAAGTAAGGCTGTAAACGTTTTCGCGCGGAAGAAGAACTGGACCGGATCGTATCGCCAATTTTTTGTAGAAACGTGCCCAAGCGCTGCATGAGGGTGTTATTTCGTCATTCCGTGTGATCTCCGAGTATGAGGAAGAGTATCCAGCCTGGATTTGTGAAGAGAAAACAACGTTAATCCCAAAACCTGGAGAGTTTACCAGCGACAACCAACGACCCATCACTTGTCTAAACACGCTTTATAAGTGGTTCACTTCGTGTCTGCTTGTCACAACAAACCAGCATCTTGAGGAGAACGATCTGATGGAGGGTGCGCAGAGGGGGGCACGGGCAGGGTGCAGTGGAACAACAGACAACTTATTGATCGACCGAATAGTTGCGTTGGATTGTCATAGGAGGAGGCGGAATTTGAGCGTGGCCTGGATTGATTTAAAGAAGGCGTACGATTCTGTAGATCATAGTTGGTTGAATGGGGTGATGACGTTACACAGGTTTCCCACATGGTTGTGTAAAGTCATTGCTAAACTGTGTAAGAGTTGGAACACAAAGGTAGTGGCGATCACAAGGGAAGGGTGACAGACCTCGGAAAGGATTAAGTTCAACAGAGGGTTACTACAGAGGGATGCATTGTGCCAGAGGCTGTTCACCGTACGCTTGAACCCAGTTGCATGGAAGATCAGAGCCGCTGAAGGATACCGGATGTCCAAACCTATTAACAGCAAGGTTACGGGACTCTTGTATATTGATCATCTTAAGATCTTCGCTGCATCGGAGAGTAAGCTTGAACGAGTTATGAAGATGCTTAAGTCATCTATGGAGGATGTGAGGCTTCAGTGGAACCTAAAGAAGTGTGCGGTGGCCCATGTGAAACGGGGGGTACAAGTGACTGCTCTCTCAGGGGGGAGAGTTGTGGAGTCGACTAGAATACCATGTCTTGATGACGGTGAGCGGTACAAGTTCCTTGGAGTACTTGAGAGTGTTAGGCAGAGGGATAAGTTGGTCCTGGAGTGTGCAGCAAGAGAGTATCTCAGACGATTGTCAGTTATTTGGACAAGTCCCTTGTCCGATTACAATCGGGTGGTAGCGTCCAATCAGTTTGCATTGCCTGTTCTTGGATATCTTATGTGGACACAACAGTGGTCCGTGATGGAACTTAAGAAGATCGATAGGGAAGCGCGCAAGATTGTTGTTGAGAGTGGGGTAGACACCCATATAGTTCGAATGCATTGTTGTATATGCCAAGAAGTAAAGTTGGGCGGGGTTTGCGCTCTGTTGAAATGGAGTACAAAGCCACAAAAATCAAGGGTGCAGTTAGACTCCATGATAATGAAGATCGAGCACTGGGAATGGTACGGGAGTTTGTAATGATTTATTTAATGTCGAAAAGGTGGGAAGTGCTTGCGCAATCTTCCGAGCCCGAGGCTCATGTTAACTCGTCATGGAGTTTGAAGAGCAACCAGCAAGGATGGGGCGTAGGTCCATTTTTAAAGAAGCGGCCAAGTGCTCGGAGGAGTTAGGCTGGAGTTGGATTCGTAACACGCGCCAGGGATCAAGAAAGAGGTGCGGAGGTGCCAAATTGAGAAGTTAGAGGATGAGATCAGAAACCAACGATGGCAAGGGCGTCTAGTGACTACTGTTACGATATGTTATCAATAGCTCGTTATTTCATAAGTCACCTGACACTTGATTGTGATACAATGACCTTACGATTCTTCAGGGAGTGTATTGAGATCCTTACGTCATTCTTTAGACATGCTTGATCACGACAACCTAAAATAAAGCTTTGCTGTGTCTCATCAAGAACCGTTTCCTACTTCTCCCGATAGTAGACAAACAGCACGTGTTACATGGTGGCAGCGGCCGGATCCTTCATCTGAATATGCTAACGACGGCTACGACCACGACGGCTACGACCACGACGGCAACTACAGCGATTTCTTCAGCACCTCTCGGAACACCTTCTACATCCAGTGGAGCTGGGACAGCGCCTATCACGCAAACGATCTCATCTTCCCCAGCCCATGGCCTTAAACCCCCTGGAAAACTGAACACCTCAGGACATCTGGCGGACGCCTGGAAATTATATAGGCAGGTATGGGAAAACTATTTTCTCATTTCTGGGTTAAACTCGCAAACAGAGGAATACAAGGTGGCATTCTTTCTGCATTGCATAGGAACTGAAATACTGAAAATTTACAATGGTTTTCAGTTCGAGAATGAAACCGACCACAAAACCTTACAGAAAGTCTTAGTAAAGTTTGATGAGTTTATACTTGGCCAGACAAATGAAACGTACGAACGATATGTCTTCAATAGCCGCAACCAAGTAGAACAGGAATCCATTGACGCCTATGTCATTTTCCTTCGTAATCTAGCCAAGTCATGAAATTTCTCTGATTACATGCGTGACTCCCTTATCAGAGATCGCATTGTTCTAGGTGTAAACAACAATGCCATCAGAAAAAAGCTCTTACAAGTTAGAGGCCTTACACTTAATCAGTGTATAGATACCTGTAGAAGCAATGAAGCCACAACCTCTCAAATGAAAGCTATTTCTGGCTCGGATGCCGTTCAAAAACTCGGCGAAGAAGCCAAGCAGCGCCGAAAACCCTCACGAAACTGGAAAAATGAACGGAATGTGCCAAAGAAACCGCCTGGTAAACCTCAGAAGAAATGTCTCTTCTATGGAGGCTTACACGTGCTACTGAAAGATAAGTGTCCTGCTTGGGGACAGAAATGCTCCGTATGTGGCGGCCGAAACCACTTTAAGAGTGTCTGCAGAAAATCCAAATCACGCGAAGTTCACAGGATCTCTGAGACGCCTGAGGAACTCTCATCAGAAGAAAGCGACATCGAGTTTCTCGCTGGAGTTGCTCCAGATTATAGGGAATCTGACGTCCATGCTGTAGGGTTCGCCAAAGAAATTTATGCCGAGATGCTTATTGATAAGAAAAAGATCAACTTTCAGATTGACTGTGGTGCAGCAATCAATATCATTCCGGCGAAACACGCACAAGGTCACGAAATCAAGTAGACCATGAAAACATTGCGAATGTGGAATGGATCACACGTCAAACCTATCGGAACGGCAAGAATCACCATGCGCAATCCGAAAACACGAAAGAAGTATTCTGTGGAGTTTGTTGTCGTCCATAAGGATCTAACACCCTTAGTCGGAGCAAGAGCAGCTTAACAAATGGAGCTTATCACTGTCAATAACGAAAACTTCATTATGACCACGCCCCCACCCCGAAAGAATGAACTGGAGGTTAGGCAGATAACTGACGAAGAACTGATAAAGCGATATTCAGACGTATTTGACCGATCAGTGGGAAGTTTACCTGGAGAAATCCATTCAGAAGTTGACAACAGCGTTAAACCTGTCATCACTCCAACTAGAAGAGTTCCTACAGCACTCAAGGACGACCTGAAAGAAGAGCTAAATCGATATGTTGAGCAAGAAATCCTAGCAGCGGTAGAAGAGCCAACACCATGGGTGAGCAGCTTAGCAGTCGCTAATAAGAAGTCGGGTGCACTGAGAGTATGCATCGATCCTCGACCACTCAACGAAGCGTTGAAAAGAGTAACCTATCAGATACCAATACTGGATGAAATTCTTCCCGAATTATCTCAAGCGAAAGTCTTCTCCACAGTTGACCTGCGTTCAGGTTATTGGCACTGCGTTCTAGACCACGAGTCCAGCCTGCTCACTACGTTCTCAACACCGCTTGGAAGATACCGTTAGCGCCGACTGCCCTTAATTTGGTTTGTCAGTCTCGTCAGAAATTTTCCAGAAAAGAGTTAACCAAGCACTAGAAGGCTTAAGTGGAGTGCTCGCTATCGCAGACGACATCTTAGTGTACGGCGTTGGAAGCAATGAGCAAGAAGCCACTGCCAGCCACAACAGAAACCTTGAAGCCCTACTACAAAGATGCCGCGAGCGTGGCATTGCGCTCAACAGAGACAAGTTGAACTTGAAACGAAAAGAAGTTCCGTTCATGGGACATGTACTCACTCCACATGGTGTTAAAATGGATCCAGATAAAGCAAAAGCTGTACGAGACATGCCCAAGCCTGAAGACGTCGAAGGAATACAGAGAATTAACGGATTCGTTAACTATCTTGCAAAATTCCCACCAGGCCTAGCCGATGTCACAGAACCTCTACGGCGGCTAACATGAAGAGATACTGAATGGCAGTGGACCGAAGAACAAGAGACAGCGTTCAAAGAATTAAAAAAGCTTGTAACCGAGGCTTCCATTCTTAGCTACTACGACCCTAAGGAAGAGCTTGTCGCACAGTGCGATGCAAGTCAGAAGGGTCTTGGAGCTGCCCTGCTACAAATAGGAAAACCTATTGCATATGCCAGCCGTGCCCTGACTGCCACTGAGACAAGTTACGCCCAGATAGAAAAGAAAATGTTGGCAATAGTCTTCTCCCTTGAGAAATTTCATCAGTACACCTTTGGATGACCTGTCCAAGTAACAAGCGACCACCAACCGCTTGAGTCCATCCTCAAGAAGCCGTTATCATCCATACCTCGACGCCTACAAGGCATGATGATGAGGCTTCAGAAGTACAACATTGATGTTCACTGCGAGTGCGGTGCAAAGATGTACATCGCTGATCTTCTCTCAAGAGCTTACCTTCCCGAAGTTGGTAGAGAAGACGTCAAAGAGTTCGAATTAGTGAACATGACCAAACTTCTGCCTGTCAGTGATCAGAAACTAAGTGAGATCCAAAGAGAAACCGCCGCGGACCAAACCCTGCAGGTCGTGAAGTCCTTGATCCTTAAGGGATGGCCAAATGACAAGAGCGACCTACCGTCGCAAGCAACCCCTTAATACAGCCTACGAGATGAGCTGACAGTACAAGATGACGTAGTTCTTAGAGGAGAAAGATTAGTAATTCCTGCCAGTTTAAGAAAGCAAAAGAGGAACAAACTTCACTCCTCACACATGGGAACAGAATCGTGTCTACGACGAGCGCGAAAATACATCTACTGGCCCGGAATGTCAGCAGAAATAAAGCAACAACTAGAAGCATGTGAAATCTACCGAACACATGACCCTAGTCAACCAAAAGAAACCCTCATGCCACACGAAATACTGGTACGCCCTTGGGAAAAGGTCGTCACTGATCTCTTTGAGTTCGAAAACGAGAGCTACTTAGTAACAGGAGACTACTACAGTAATTTCCGGGAAGTGGACAAGCTCCCCGACACCAAGGCAAGAACCGTCATCTTGAAACTCAAGAACCACTTTGCCAGATACGGATGCCCAGACAAAGTTGTGTCGGATAACGGCCCTCAATTCTCCTGTAGCGAATTCGCAACGTTCGCTCGTACCTGGGAATTCGAACACTGCGCCATCAGCCCTGGAAACAGTAAGACAAATGGGAAAGCCAAATCTGCTGTGAAGACAGCAAAACAACTCCTCCGCAAAGCATTCGAAGCTAGCAATGACCCTTACCTAGCGATCCTGGATTACAGAAACACGCCTAAACAGGGAATCGGGTCAAGCCCGGCTCAGCGCCTAATGAGTCGAAGAACGAAGACCCTACTTCCAACAGTGAGTCAGCTTCTACAACCGCAAAGCAGCAAGCCATCTGACGACCGCGCGAAGGTTGTGAAGCGTCAGCAGAAACAGAAGTGGTACTACGACCGCACCGCGAAAGACCTCAAACCGTTAGAGAAGGGTGACACTGTGCGGATGAGACCGCTACGTCCTGGTGAGAAGAAATGGCGGAAAGCGCTGGTGATCAACAAAGATGACCGACGATCATACACCGTGGAGACTTCGGATGGTAGAGCATACCGTCGTAACCGCGTGCACCTGAGAAAGACTCAAGAATCACCACCGACAATTCAACAGGACCACGGATCACCACCGTCAAACAATCCTATGTCGCACAAGCATGCTGAAAGCCCTGAAGCGCCAACCACAAGCATCCCGTCGCAGACCTCGCCAGACAAATCAAGCAAACCCCAGCCGCTCGAAGTCAATGAAGAGCCCCCACCGGCGAGGCCCTCACGAACTCGAAGGCCTCCAGAACATTTGAAAGACTATGTCTGCTATTGAGTATTGCATGCTGTCAAGCTTATACCCCTATTTCCCATTCAGCCGATTTCATTCTTTTTGCCTGAGATGAGATAGTTTTATTTTCTTCATCTTCCTTTTCAAAAGGGAAAGGATGTTACGATATGTTATCAACAGCTCGTTATTTCATAAGTCACCTGACACTTGATTGTCATACAATGACCGCATGATTCTTCAGTGAGTGTATTGAGATCCTCAGTCATTCTTTAGACATGCTTGATCACGACAACCTAAAATAAAGCTTTGCCGTGTCTCATCAAGAACCGTTTCCTACGTCTCCCGATAGTAGACAAACAGCACGTGTTACAACTACTAGGCTGGAGGATGAGAGTTTGAGTGCCGATGGGTGTTTCTGGTGGGTCACAGAGTGGAAGAAATGCCCATCACACAATTGCTGGACTCGTCGAGCTGTACGAGCAGTTCTTGCCAACGCGAGTATACACGAGTCAGAAGACCCACACAAGCGGGGAAGGCGAGGTGAGGTGCAGATTATGCGGTGAGGCTCCAGAGAGCGTGGCTCATATCTTGTCAGGATGCAGTGCGCTGACCCAGAGAAAGTATCTCTCTAGACACGACGCAGCACTGAAGGTACTGTTTTACGAACTGTTGTATGATGAGGGAGTTATAGACGAGATACCACCCTGGTACTCACCCGACAAGCCCAAGCCCGTGTATGAGTCAGAGAATGTTAAAGCTTATTGGGATGTCCCTATATATGCTGATCAACAAGAGGTCAGATGCAATAGGGTGGATGCACGCCTTGTAAATCATATGTGCAAGAGAGTTGTGACGCTGGAAATGAGCTGCCCGTGGATTAACAATCGGACAAGAAAGGATGAAGAGAAGACACTGAAGTATGGACCCCTTCGCTGGGAACTAAGGCAGCAGTTTCCAAGCTACGAGGTGAAGAAATATAACATCATTATAGATGCCCTTGGGGGTGGTCACGGGAGCTGGATGTCACGATGCGCGAGCTTGTTGGAGGCAGAAGCACAGACGTACTGCGAAAGATGCAGAGGGCAGTGTTCTCGGGCACGTTGAATATTGCCCGGACTTTCAAGGTGGCAGTTTGAGTTTCTGTTAGAAGGAGGACCATAGTCACGACGTAAAAGCCTTTTAGGATTAGTTAATGTACAATTATTTTTTACTCCATGGCTCACAGGTTACGGTTTTCGCCCTGTGCTGCTTGATTAGAATGTAGCATTTAGTTGATTTCTCTGCGAAATAATAATAATAATAATAATAACAATAATAATGATAATATTAACATGAAATGAGAAGGTGAAATTGAGATCAACATGTAAATGGTCAACTTGACATGCTATCAAAATTTTTCCTTCAGCTGAAATCTCACTCAGGAATGCAATTTTGTCAGTTTCGATCGATACACCTAAAAAATTCAAGCTTTTGTTTATTTCGGTCAGCTACTATGTGTATCAATCAGCACAACCTACTTCAAGTAAATCTGATTGGTTGCCAGTATGATCTATTGTTGCTGAGCCCACCAGTGGTTTACATTTGTACTTGGATAATTACTTTTGCACCAGTGATACATGAAAAAGACATCTAGCTGCTTTCAGCCAATCAAGAGTGTAATTTTTCATGTATATCAGTATTGTGATGAACTAACCGAAACCAAACAAGTAAGGGATCGTTCATTTTTAAACAAGGTAGGGGGGAATTGTGGGATTTAGGGGGGTTCACCAAAAAAAACGGCCGTAAAGGGGGGCCATCTACAAAAAATGAGGCAAAGGGGGGGTCACGTAAAATATTTTAGTGATGCCTTGAGATAGGATATGTTTTACTATTCTTAAAAAGTATATTCCCGCAGAAACAAATAATAAAGTGTTTAAATCCATTAAAGAATTTCCTTCTGCTTTTAATAACGTTTCCGCGGCTGCAGACTGAAATTTTAAAGCTAAGGAAGTTAATGAAC